GCAGGTACTGCATGATCGTTGCGTCCTTGCCGAGGAATCACATTATTAGATTCTATCATCAGTTCTTCGTATGCTAGCCACAGCGGAAGCGGTAGGAATTCGGCTGCACCACCCCCCTTTGTGTGCCCAAAAACAATTTGCGCAGGCGCTTAAGCTCCCCTGGCCCACCCCCTACACATCCCATATTCCGAGTGGTCCCAACGATCGGATGACCTAACAATCATGCGATCATTGAGAAATCCATATCCGGTCCCAAGATAAACTTAGCCCCAGATAACCCATGAGGTTATTTTCCCTTTCCCGAAACATTTGTTTACGTTTTTTATGATTTATATATAAACAGCGTAATATTTATTGTGATGTATTTGGCATGACTACGAATCACTGAAAACGAGCTTGTTCGCCACTCCTTGTTCTATTTGAAAATGAGTTCTTCGTTTGTCAACAATAAATCCAGTGTTTGTGACTGCAGGTTTACAAATCTGGTGGTCACCTTCATACAATTGTACAGTGAATGAGTCAACGATCCCTTGGAAATAATGTTCGAATAATGGACAGACGGCCGCTGATTTATTGAGATAGGGGCAGTTAAATCACCCATTGGGAAAATATGGATAGATCTTTGTGTAAAGTGTGATATGTTTGCAAAGACTTTCGTTGACTGTCTCCGGGGATGAGGGAAGCTGATACACTATGCCAATCAAACATTCATCGTATTTGGACAGTCGTGACTTTAACCAAAAGGTGTCAGGAGGCAATACTGATTGCCTCGCACTGAAAATCGTCGCAAACATAAGGTAAAACGCCATCGTCAGATGTGGGACGATCGCATCTTAGTAGGATACATTTGGAAAGGGGTTCGGAATCAATAATTGCAATTAAAGCCACATTTTGGCGACAGCACGGATATCCCATTGGCCATGTTGGAAACGCCACTTCAGTTCGGAGAATTAACTGAGAAATCCTTGTGCGTTGGTGTAGCAGCAGTTCAGGTATCGTCAGTGCAGAAATCCCATTGGTTGAGAAGTGGTACCTTTGCCGACTACTACGTGATCGGTTAACAGTCATCTTTTGAGGGTGATGCTCTGGTACTTTGGTCTTCCGATGGGGGTGTTGACAGTATCTTCCAACTGTGGGTTGTTGGGGATCTAGGAACTAGCAGTGGGCTCAGGCGCAGTACTGGCGGAACTCGTTTCTTTTTCCGCTGCCGTGAATGCAAAAACGATATTGGTCATTTCCGGAATACAAACACTAACTTTCATTATCCTGGGTGGTTTGGTGAACAGTGTGTTCAACTATTAATCATGCACTTTCGTGCGCCGGTTTTGGTTGCTGTCTTTTGACTGCCAATTTGAATGAACAGTAGAAAGACAGGAAAGTTCAAAGTGTAGTCGAACAGAAAATGGCGAAGTTCAGTGGACTCATGTTGCAAAGAAATTGCGAAGATGCACGAACGCCACTGTTTACGACACTCAGCCATATCACTCAGTGTGTGTAACCATCGATTGCGATCATTCCGAGGCCCCCAACCAAGGAGCCTAACGGGACCTATGTGGCCGACTCTACTGGCTTGGGTTTACATATCCTCGTGCCGGGTCTTAGCTTGACTACCCTTGGCCTTATTTCAGCCACCACTTGCCTCGGCGAGCATCGCTCGCCATGGTTACCTATTTGGTGACATGCGTAGCACATGTCCCAACCAACGTATTCTATGGAGGTCAACCGCTTGCTCCGGTGGGCAACCGCAAGTACCCAAAAATCCGCGCCTAACTACAGCATGACTCGTCCGGCTACCCCACCAGATTCGTGCAATGCTGCGTAGACAGCGATGTTCAAGCACCGACAGTTCATCTTCATCCTGTTTTCTTAATGGCCAAGTTTCTGCACCGTATAGCGGAACTTTCCGAGCTTCCAGGACATACACTCGACCCTTCACAGAGGCCGGATGTCGCGACGGCGCCACAGATATCTTAAGTTGCCAAACACCAACTGAGCCTTCTGTATGCGAGCTGACACTTCATCCGTGATGCGTCCACCGACCTTTTTATCCCAACTTCCCGCGCACACTTTGGACCAGCCCTATGATTCATGTGCTCCGTCCACNTCCGTCCACGTTCTGTTAAACATTCAGAACATTTTTATGTCAATGGGAAAATGCAATTCTGCATACAAAGGTAACACGAAAGTGAACTTTCTACTTGGGTTTTGGGTGCAGAATCAAGGAACAAAGTTAGGGAAAAATTGTGGGACAGTTCAGTCAGTGTATTCAATAAATTGGCTTTATCGGATACGATATCGAAAGCAGTGATCCCTCCAATGATTTTACTGACTAAAATAGTACTCTCACGGGATTATGAAGCGCTTTCGAGGTTCGATTT